CCGAGGCGGTCCCAGATCGCTCCAAGACGCCCAAGATGGTCCCAAGACGGCCCAAGGGGCCTCCAAGACGCCCCAAGAGGCCTCCAAGAGGCTCTCCAAGAGGGCCCCAAGAGGCTCGAATCGTTGATTTTCCATTGTGTTTTTCGATGTTTTTGGCTTTCTCTCCTTTTGGGCTCCCTGGCGCTCCAAGACGGCCAAGAGGCACCCAAGATCGCCCCAAGACGGCCCAAGAGGCCACCAAGACGGCCCCAAGACGGCCCAAGAGCGCCCCGGGACCGCTTAAGAGGCCTCGAAGACGGCCCAAGAGAGTCCCAACACGGCTCCAAGAAGGGGCCCAGACGCGGGATCCGAGCGCACTTTACGGGCCCTCGGCCCCAAGAGCATCCCCAGAAACCACTAGAGGCTCCCAAAGGCCCCCAAGAGCCCCCCGGGAGGCCCCCAAGAGCCCCCGAGCAGGCACCGAAACGAGCCCCATGCGATTTCGGACACTTTCATATGCACCCCTTCTTCCTTCCGATCCGTTCCGTTGAGCTGCCTGCATTGAGTAGCATGTGCATTGCATTTCAATTCAACAATAATGCTGTGAATCGCGCTGCATTTGCAACGTTTGGCGTTTGTTTTACTACTCGCATTGGTCTGCATGGCGTTGCATTCGATACGTCTGTGTGCGCCCTCGTGTGTACTACGGCCCTGTTCGGTCTGCGCCATTGTTACCTCTCCAGTTCATGCTCCTGCCATTGGTGGTTACGTGCACGCGTGCACATGTTAGCTTTGAGAGGATGGGGGCTGCTGGAACCTCAGCGCGCTCGAACTGCGCGTGTGGTGTTAGTTGGGGCCGAGGGTGCGAGCTTAGCGTGCACATGTTAGCTTTGAAAGGATGGGGGCTGCCGTTGTTTCTGTGGCCTCCTCGTCCTCCTCCGTCGGGACAGCCCATGTCTACTTAGCTGATCTCGGTGCCGACGCCCACTCCCTGACCACCCTCTTCCTCTGCAGCCTGGGGTGTCTCCTCGTCGTCGTCGTCGTCGTCGTCGTCGTTCTCGCCGTCGTGGTGCCATCACACTCGACGGCAAGCAGAGGGGGGAGGGGCGAGGGGGGTGGCCTTCTAAGCAGCCGGGGAGTTTCTAAGAAGGTGGGAGCCTCCTTTCAAGTGCTCGGGGGCTTTTAGGAAGGCTTCTTGAAGCTCTCCCGGCTTCTAAAAGAAAGAGGAGGAGGAGCAAGAGGATAGGATGATGGGGAGAGATAGAACGGAAATGAGGAGGAGGGGGAGGGGACTGGAGTAGACCGATGATGATGACGGCGACGACGCTGATGATGAGGATGACGAGCACAACGACGGCGCCGACGAAGATGATGATGATGATGATGATGCTGATGCTGATGCTGACGATGATGATGCTGATGATGATGACGACGACGATGATAGTGAGGACAACGATGACGACGACGATGATGACGATGGTGCTGACGATGCTGACGATTGTGGTGGTGATGATGATGGTTGTGCTGGTGATGGTAATGGTGAACACGACCATGACGATGACTACGATGGTGATGATTGCGATGATGACGATGGTGAGGATCCTGGCTAGAACTTGAGCGCGCGCGAAGCGCGCGCGATGGTTCTAGTATATATATATATATATATATATATGTATATATGTACATATAACGGCGCACCTGGTCCGGGGGCCCGGGGCCGGGACCACGACCGCAAATGTGGGGACCGGGGGCTCTGGAGGCGCCGGAGGCCCACATAATGCCATTAGAAAGCGCCAGGAGAGCCCCAAGACGCTCCAAGAGAGACCCGAGACACCCAAAGGTCGCTCTAAGACGCCCAGCATTGCCTCCGGACGGCTTCAGAAGCCCCCAAGACGCCCCAAAAGGCGTCCAAGCCGCGCCCGAAGAGATCTCCAAAAGGCAAAAATAGCGCCGTTCCCTTCGTAAAACGTATATTTATACTACATCAATTGTTTTCGCTGCCGTACAGTTCATGACGACGCCGGAGGCCCCCAAGACAGCCCCAAGCCAGCCCAAGAGGCGCCCCAGAGGGCCCCAAGACAGCCCAAGAGAGCCTCAAGACGGCCCAAGAGGCGCCCAGAACAGCCCAAGTGCGGCCCTGAGGCCCACAAAAGGCTACCAGAAAGGACTCGGGACGTTCCAAACGCGACCCGAGACGCCCAATGGTCGCACCAAGACGCCCAACATCGCCCCAGACGGCTTCAGAAGCCGCCAAGACGCCCCAAAAGGCCTTCAAGACGCGCCCGAAGAGATTTCCAAAAGGGCAAAATAGCCCCATTCCCTTCGCAAAACGTATATTTTTACTACCTCAATTGTTTTCGCTGTCGTATAGTTCTTGACCACATCAGAGGCTCCCAAAGACCGCCCCAAGACAACCTAAGTGGCGCCCCAGAGGGCCCCAAGACAGCCCAAGAGAGCCCCAAGACGGCCGATGAGGCGCCTAAAACAACCCAACTGCGCCCCTGAGGATTACAAAAAGCTA